AATATTTTAATATTATTTTTATATTATTGAGGGGGTAATTTGTGAAAGATAAACAGAAATAAGCTTTTCGAAAAACTTACAGCATGCCGACTTTTTAGAACATGAAAAAATGAAGTATTTTTCACCAATTATACAACTGTATAAACAGCGTAAATATATACTTGAAAATTTACGATTATTCGCATGTAATTTTTTCTTATGGAATCTTTGTATAGAAAAATCTACATGTCTTATTTACAATCTTATTAATAGTATATCTTTCGTGATTTTATGAAAAATCGTTAAATAAACTTCCATCTAAAAAAAAAAAAAAAAAAAAAAAAAAAATTGGCTACGACATTTTCGTTAAATGTGCAAATTTGAAAAAATAATTACGTGCGAATTCATGACAAATTGGCTACAATGATACTAAAGTGATGAGTTAATAAACAAAACGAAGCTACATATGGCTAAAGTGATGTAATTTCTTGTATCCTCAAAATTGCCGTGCAAATTTAATTCACAAAATTTAAGGTTCTAATTCACGAAATTAATTTAGAATGAGTCAGATAATAGCTAATAATTTATAGAAATAGTTAAATTTATAGGAGAATTTACATTTATCTTATATTCTAAAAAATGCGCGAGAAAGATAGTTTCTAATTTTCAAAATTCCAAAATTACTTTATTATACTATCTCTATAATTGATACTATCTCAATTTGAGAATCAAATAAGCTGCAACAATTTTTTTTTTTTTTACTTTCTCGAATAAATATTTTCTATTTTATGGGAATATAAATTTCTTTCTTAATTCGTTAATTTTTTTTTCAAGGAAAAATGCATATGTATATTCATATTTGATATAATGGAGACAGATAATTATATGGATATATATATTTTTTTTCGGAGCTAAATGCTAGACCTAAACGGATTGTTGTTGATAAATTGCGTGAAATAATAAAAGAAATCGAAATTGTAAAATCGAGACGCGACGCGAGTCTCGCAGATATTTGATGCTTTATTTTGGCTGAGCTATGCATTTTTATTATTGCTGCGAAAGTCAAAGTTACGCGTCCACGCGTTCAACAAATATATAATATATATATATACATATTATTCGTGATGCATATGAAATAAAAACTCTGACAATAAAAAGAAAGACAATAATTCTCTTTTGTTTGAAACGGGGAATAATCTTTCTTTTTCTTGTATAAACTAAAAATATATTAGAAACGTATGCGTTTTATTTTCGAACGTGAGATTAGGATTCATAGATGGAGCGTGATTTGAAACTCCTTACCGTTCTCTCCCTCCTCGTTCAAGTCCCATGATGGCGTAAACAAAGCGGCATGGCTTTCTCGATCACTGACCCTGCCGACCGTGATGCGTGCGGATGACAAGCGCAGGAATTTCGCGATCGATCGATCTCCAGCTGATCGCGTCCGTCTCGTCCCGCAGCATCCCGCAATCATTTATCTCGCGCGACGTCTGATACAATTTGCATCTTACGTAGGCGCATTGATCGATTAATCGACGTTCTTTCATCCCGATCGATTATCCTCCCGACATTGCCGAGTTCAGATTGTTCAGATCAATTCAGATCCTCGCGAAATATATATATAACCTCATTTAGAAGTATTTAACTATATTAGAAAATTATGCAACCGTGTGCGTAGAATGCGATTAATCGGCCAAAAGGTATATATAATCGGCAATATCTATTTGCTTCAAATTAAAATTTATACCTTTATTCACAATAGATTAATTAACCAACTCTCAATTATTGAGTGTTCATGTTGCAAACAGTTACCTGTATCTCTTATTGTTACGATTATCTCAAACAAAATTAGTGGCCCTCGGCCCGGTGAAGTCAACATCCGATTTTGTTCGCTGGAGTTCCGGTGCACGAGCTCTGAAAGAGCGAAAGCGAAAGGGCCAGGCCCCAGGCCAGCGGGAAGAGAGAGAGAGAGAACACCGGCGGTGGTGGGGGTGACGATAGTGGGGAGATCGAGTGCGCGTATCATATTACGTCAGGTCAGGGAGAGAGAAAGAGAGAGAGAGAAAAAAAGTTTGAGAGAGTGAGAGAACGTGGTGGAGAGGCACCAGGCGTCTCTTTGACATCTGCGCATTTCTCGCGCTCGCTCAGGGGAAAACTCCAAAACAAGCAACATGGCGGACCCGAGCAACGAGCCTGCATCGTCGAGCGGCGTCTCGGAGCAGGTCGCCGCGACGACGGCGGCCACCGCCCACGCGACGCCGATACGCGAGGACCTCGACAAGCCCGAGGACTTTCCCGAGCCCGACAAGAAGCGGCGTAGGACGTTGCGTGCCGAAAACGACGCCGCGAAAACCGAACAAAAGTTGGAGCACCGTCTGGGCGGTATCCTCTGCTGCGCAGTTTGTCTCGATTTGCCACGAGCGGCTGTCTATCAGGTAAGTCGCCTCAACCTCCCCCCCCCCCGGCTCTTTCCGGGATCAGCGTGTCCCGCTAACGACATACTCGTCGTCATCGTCGTTTTCGGAAAAGATTCTCCCCGCGATGTGAGTCCGAATCGACGTGGCCTCCGTATATCGAGGCGCGGCGTTCTTACGCTCATGAGGATAATTGTGACGTATAGCCCCCGTTCCCCTTCCCCCCCCCCGAGCCTGCATCGTCGAGCGGCGTCTCGGAGCAGGTCGCCGCGACGACGGCGGCCACCGCCCACGCGACGCCGATACGCGAGGACCTCGACAAGCCCGAGGACTTTCCCGAGCCCGACAAGAAGCGGCGTAGGACGTTGCGTGCCGAAAACGACGCCGCGAAAACCGAACAAAAGTTGGAGCACCGTCTGGGCGGTATCCTCTGCTGCGCAGTTTGTCTCGATTTGCCACGAGCGGCTGTCTATCAGGTAAGTCGCCTCAACCTCCCCCCCCCCCGGCTCTTTCCGGGATCAGCGTGTCCCGCTAACGACATACTCGTCGTCATCGTCGTTTTCGGAAAAGATTCTCCCCGCGATGTGAGTCCGAATCGACGTGGCCTCCGTATATCGAGGCGCGGCGTTCTTACGCTCATGAGGATAATTGTGACGTATAGCCCCCGTTCCCCTTCCCCCTCGATCGACCAGTTTACCAGCAGAAAGTCGGTCGGTTTTTCAGACGATAGTATAACACAATAGTCCCGGCCGTGCCATTCACTGATGTGCACCATGTGCACCGTATGCAAGCTTCATTCTTGATGAATTTATGTTCTGTTTGTCGTGCCGGGGGAGACATTCCTCAAAGACATAAAAAAAAAAAAAACGCGTAGATTTTCGTTAGAGATCTCACTCGGCAGCGCGTCGACCTCTGGACGCAGAATGTCATCTCGTGTTGTTATTATTTTATTATTTACAGCAAACTATCTTCTCCTCCTGTGCTTTATCTTTATATTCTTTTACTAAACATATTTTTTCCTCTCTTTCTCTCTCTCTCTCTCTCTCTCTCTCCGTTTCCATCTTTTTATTTTTATTTTTTTTCCTGCTACGACGAGGTTGCAGAGGCTTAGAATCTAGATATGGAATATTATTAAATTATTTTTATCGGATAATTGCATTTTTTAAATTTTGTTATAACAATCCAAATATGGATTGTCATGTAAAATAGATCTTGGTACCTTGGGAGGTACCTTGGATTTCTTCATGTTTTCAAACTCTGCTTATAATACTGATAATATTAAAATAAACGCAAAATAATCCTTATGTATGATATAGTACAGTCCCTTATTCTATAAACTGAGCTTTATACACAGGTCGAATAATGAATATGTCTGTTGAGACAAAAGTTTGTCTACTAGACATGTTAAATTCTACAGGTAGGTATTATATTTTTTCTTTTTACATGGAAAGAGATGAAATATGTGTCTATTTTTTATATATACACATAAAGAAAGAATTATTTTCTGACTTGTGTGTATGTATAAATATATATGAAAGAATTCCCCTTTTTCAGAACATATATTTATAAATTGACTTAATATATTAAACTTTAGCATATATATGTGTATACATAATTTTATATATATATATATATATTGAGAAGTTTAATATCTATACAGATTTATTTAAAAGAATATACCTTTCTGTGTTGTAACAAAAAAAGTTACATGCACAGAATTTTCTCTACATGCGCATCTGTTACTCTTTCAGTTGTATCAACATCTCATTATAATAGAATATGTGCCTTTATATAAAATGCAGTGCGCATATATAATTTCAATTACTGGAAATAAGAATAATTAAAATTCTCAAATAGTTACCTCAGATAGAATGTACAGCAGCATTCACAATTTGTTAAATGTGTATGCATGTAGTTATGAATTCATTTAGAAAATTGAATAGCAAACAATACGATACTTGTTTGTCGGTGAACTGTTTGTAGATATTCCCCAAATTCATATCAGAGCGCTGTTAATTTCATCTTCAATACTTTTCTTATTGAATATTATTGAACGTGAAAAATTGAGGATAAAAGAGAGAATATATAATTAATTGACTATAACTAACTATTTGTATTATAGGACAAGAGTTGTATTACCTATCTTGGTATCCCTAATGTTAGATATATATGTATAAAGTCCTTTATGTGCAAGATGCACACATAGATACTTTCATTTGTGATACGAGAACTTATCCATTGTATTCTTTTAGTTGTAAACTTTTATAAACATCCTGCATACTGCCCTCTTTTTTTCTTTTTATGTAGGACTTGTCGCAAAGAATAATGTTTGTTTCTATGATTCGTCGTGAATAGCGCGGGATTTAATACTTCGTATTAGTTTATTTTAGTGCCACTATTAAATCGGTTATAGATAAATAGTGAAGTATTTAAGATTTTAGATTTCTGTGTGTGTAGTTGTGCTTAGTATATAATATAATGATATTTGGAAACTTATGAAACACACTATGTTTATTATAAGAGAATTATCGAGAGACAGGAATATATATTATTCAGAGCACACAATATAAGGGATATATAAAGATCTATGCTGTTAGATTAATGCGAGACTGATGTCCATAGTCAGCAGCGAGAGAGTGAGAGTGAGGGAGAGAAAGCGAACACAGAAAGAAAAAGATTTGTACAAACTGTATAGTGCAAAACAAAATAAATACTCTTAAAGGTTATTAGTTAGTTATTTCGCATAATACACCCCTTGTCACTTGTCCTATGTGTCATCATCCTCGTATCTTCCTTTTTGTCATTGATATATTGGCACTGTTGAAAAAAAATAATTCTTTAGAGGGTATTTGTGTTAATTTTTAGACAGATAATATATATATATATATCTTAATAAGTACATTGTGTGATTAATAAGTATCCGTACGATTTTGTGTTTCAGGTTTAAACATCAAAATGATGGTAATATACATGGCATTAATTTTTTTGTTCTATTTGGATTTATTGTGTTCTGGGGTTTCTGTAGTGTGTATACATAAGTAAGAATACGAAACAAATTGAATATTATGCATAACATAATGAAAAAGAGAAACTTTACTTATTGTTGCAATATATTAAATTAATAGTGTAGGTTGTGTTTTTTCATGCAAAGAGTCAATGAAATCTATGTAATTTAGAGAGTTTACGTATTCATTTTAAATAATACACTTTACAAACATATAATGTTTGCCATATAAAAGCTAGGTTTTTAAAAATCTAGCTTTTTACATAAAAGAAATGTAATTATACAAATAAGGACGTTAATAATACATACTGCAATGATGTTCACAGTGTGCTAATGGACACTTGATGTGTGCTGGTTGCTTCACTCATGTCCTCGCAGATGCCAGGCTACGGGATGAAATGGCAACATGTCCCAACTGCAGAATCGAAATCAGCAAGACCAGCGCATCTCGAAATCTGGCAGTTGAAAAAGCCGTGTCTGAGTTACCCGCAGAGTGTCAATATTGCGCGAAGGAGTTTCCGCGAAATTCCTTGGAGCATCACGAAGAGGCTACATGCGAAGAAAGGTAAATTTGTAGAAGAAAATTAACGAAAAAAAAGTTATATGGGATTTTTTGTCTTAATACATATTTCTAATCTTATAACTGATCTTTACAGTATAGTTACAGAGGGATATATGGACTGCAAATATATACGTAGTATATAGTTTAGAGAAGGCAATTATTTGTGTGCGCAAACATTATCTTCCCAAGAATTTTCCTAAAATTAATATATTATCTATGATATATTATAATATGTTATAATATTTTCTTATATTTAATATATATACGTATCCGAGATTAGAATCATACATAAAATATGTAACTCGTCCAGAACTTTCCTAAAATCCCATGTTGCAAAGCTTTCCCATAATCTGCTATATTTATTCGTTTCTCTTTTTGATTAAATAACATATTTACGAACATTCGCATTAATATCTAATTACTTATACAGGATATCTAGTTGCAAATATAGTAGAATCGGTTGTCCATGGCGAGGCCCGAATCACGAGATCCCGGAACATGAGACTCACTGCGTCCATCCTCATCGTACAGGTGCGGATGTGATGGAGGCTCTACGCGAAATCGATGCCCGCACCTTGGAAGAACGTAGGCTCTATGACAATGTCTTTGATCTTTTGTCCTACGAGAAAATCACGTTTAACGGTCTGTATCAGTTGCTAAATATTATTATAACACAATTATACACAAATATATATTAAAATAATTTTTAGTAAATTGTGTTACACTGAATACATATGTCGTTTCTCTCTTGATTTTTTATTTCCCTTGCAATAATTGATTCGTAAATAATTTCATTGAATCGCAACGATCTTAGTGTTTTTCTTTCCTTTTTTTTATAGCTACGGATGATGATTGAAGAATCCTTCAATTATCCTAAAATTTTATCGTTTATAGATTTACAGATGAAGCCGTATCGTACCGATGAATTTGTCCATAAATTATTTTATGAAACCTCACGATTCGGTGCTTTCAATAATCAGTGGGTAGTGAAGGCAAAGATCAATAGTAGTCAACGCGATCCTACTCAAAGTTCAGAGCGAGACATGACTTATCAAGTATGAAAAAAATTTCTCAGACGAAATTTTAGATTAATAAACTGCAATACGAAATATGTATATGGATTAAGATGTAAATGTGTTAAGAAAATTATTACAATACCATTAAACATTATAAACTTATTTGATACGCAATGTATATTGCGATCTAAGTATGAAAATATGTTTCGTAGCTGATACTAAAGACAAAGACCACTTATCCGCTACCGGTTTATTACTTGATCTTGAAAGGCCCATTTGGCGATATGAAAGTGCATCCGAGAATACACAGATTCGAATTCACCGAGCAGGAAAACGAAAGTCCGTATTTTACATTACCATTACCGGACACAGCAGAGTGCAATAGACTTCTCGCTGCTAAGGCCATCAGTTTTAGGTAAATGATTGATTCTAGAACACGCTAGAGCTATATCGCAGTTACTTTATTACAATATAATACAATAAATATGATCCTTTTATATGTACAACGTGTAATCTCTCGTTTGCAGATTAATAATGTTCCTGGCATCTAAGTAGCTTATAAGGATAATATCTATTGTCAAGATTTTGTCACAAATGGAACCGATCGACGCGGTCTTCTGGATGTAATAATAAATAAGAATGATAGAGATTACAGAGATTTATAACCATTTATAGTAGCGCTAATCATGATAATGATAATAATTAGCAAAAGAAATTGAAGATGCTTTTATCACTGGAATGTTTCAAAGTAATATGTTAAGATAAAGATAAATTATATATAAAATTAATATAATATATAGTATATACAACTATATACACAATATACAAAAAGCACAGGTATCATTTGAAAAATTAATCTGGTTAAATTGTTTTTTTTTTTTTTTACGTCTCTTTCACATTAAATTTTTATATTTAAAGAAGAAAGAACTAAAGACTAGAGAGTAGCTATATGTAGATTACTGTTAGACAATAAGCGGACTTAATTTTATGTACCAATTGTGCAATGTACTTGTATTTCAAGACGAAGCTAAATGAACAGTATCACACTTAGATAATACTAATTTAATACACATACCTGTCCACGAGAAGTCTCTCGTGTTTCTTTTATTTAAATAAATAAGACGCTATTGATGTAAAATTTCGAATAAAGGTTTGGAATTGTAATAAGCCTAAAAACTGCTTTATTACAATATTAGATCCAATTCACATTGAGATATAGCGTTAAGTCGTTTTTATACACATCGAAGAAAACAGTGCCGAAAAGCATATAACTTCTACTGTAACTTCTATTCTCTTTTTTTGTAACTTTTACGGACCTTTTCATACCTTAAGTAACGCGTGATACGTTTGAATGTTTCCAGGTTGCAACTCTTTATATGAAGGACTATGAAGGACTGAATATTGATCAATTACAATTCTGTCAAGTTGATGAACGTGTTGTTGCTCGCTTTCGGACCGTTCGTATTATTCGGTGGAAAGATTAATGGATTCAGATTATTTTCGGGTTGACTACTGCTTAGCCTACGGTATTTCGGCACAGCCAACCTGGAATCGGGCTCGGAGCAACCTGTCAACCAGTAGGAGGTCACCCTACCCTTTCCCTTCAACTCCACCTCTCCTCTGAGCTCGAGGTCAAACGTCTTGAACTTGTCCAAGATATTTTTCGTCGCTTCGGAGACGTGTATCCTCAAAGCTGTGAGATACAAATTACAGTTTTAAGTTTATTTAAATATTATATAGAATTGTTTTCGTTTAGATCTTTTTCAATTTTCAAAACTACAATTTTGCAAATATTTCTATTATTATTATTATTAATATGGTTCTTATAATTTTATCTTACGAAGCCCAGAAGATTCCATTCGAGATGCCGTATTTACGGTGTCACCAAAGAGGCAATAGTGCGGCATCCTTTGACCCACCACCCCGGCGCAAACTGGACCGCTGTGAACACCGATCCGCACACTTAATTGAGTGTTTTGTTTGTGCATTATAGTAAACGATTTCACGGCATCTAATATAGCCAGAGCCATCAGTCCAATTTCCCTCGCGTGTTCGTCGCCGTTCCTCTCCGGAAGACCGGACGCGACCATATACGCATCTCCTATAGTTTCTACCTGCGAATCGTACCATCTTCATTTTTAGGTTCTCTTAAATTTGCGTTCTTAAGAATTCATTATTTTTAAAGATCTAAGATGTAAATACTTGAAAGTAATTCTCTTTCGAAAAAAATAATCTTAAAGAGTTTTTAAAAGAAAGAAATTAAATGACTTCATCCACCTTGTAAACATCGTAGAATCCAATAATGTTGTCGAAGGTACTGTACAAGTCATTTAGGAAGTCCACGACCTCCATGGGCATGCTCTGCGCGCACAGCGCTGTGAAACCGACGATATCGCTGAAGTAGATGGTGACGCACTCGAATTGCTCCGGTTGGACTATCTCCCCGGCCATCAGCTGATCAGCGACTTGTCTTTAAAATTTTGCTCCATTACAATCGAGCAAAAGCCATCGCAAGTTCTTTGGAAGAAGATGACAAGAGTGTTCCGCTACCTTGGAAGCACCTGGTACAGCAGCTCCTCGCTACGACGCTTCTCCAAGCTTAACTGCTCGGTTTTCTCCTCGACGAGAGCTTCCAGATTGTTGGCATATTGTTCCATCCGTCGCAGCAGATCGTCCATTAAATTCTCGCAATATCCCCTGAAACGTGAACACGTGGTTTCTGTGACTTTTACAGCAGTTTCAATTGTACAGTTTTATGAGAGTTGAGTTTTGCAAATCAAAATGTACTTCATGATTCCTCGTATCGTGCCGCGAATCGTGTGGAAACTAGGTCGTTCGTCGGGGACTTCGTGCCAGCATCTCTCCATCAGCGACAGTATGTCCGGCGGACAATCCTTCGGAGCAACTTCTGGCCTCAACGGAGGATTCTCTGACGCAGATACCCTGCTCACGATCTTTAAAATGAATAACAAGAGATAACGAGAAGATAAAATTAAAACTAGAAGGACGATAACGGGCCATACCTCTTCTGCCGTCATAAACGTCCTGGCTACCTCGTAAGGACCGCCACGAACCACTATCTCCTCCAAGATAATCGCGAAGCTGTAAACGTCGCCCTTCTGCGTCGCGGCGCTCCCAGGGGTTACCGTTAACGGCAGCAATTCTGGAGCGATCCAAAGTAATTCTGCAAATGGAAATAAAACAACGACACGTTTCTCCTTGCTATAAAAAACTGTATTTACGCCATATTATTTTTATTTCAGGCATGACTCACTAGTGTAATAAGTCTCGTCCATAATCAAATCGGAGGGCGTGGTGAGAGTTTTAAGTCCGAAATCTGAGATTTTCAGTACGAAACGACCATCTATCAGACAATTGCACGACCGCAATTTCCCGTGAGCGGAAACTTCGCTAGCATGAAGATAGGACATTCCCTGTAAAAAGACAGGTTTTTTTAAATTCTTTTCGTAAGCTTTTGTACATGGTGTCTTAATCAATTAATTTCGCGTAATTATATGAATTCATAAAAATAATAAATCGTTAAGCATAGTACTAAAATATATTGAGGAATTTAATGGGAAACACACGACCTCTGCACCTGCCTCTACCTTGACGATATCGTGGATCAAGGACATTCGAAAATTCCAATCCAATTTAATCGCCTCGTTTTCCAAAACATCCTTCAACGATCCTCGAGGACAATATTCCGTGAGAATCAAAACAGTCGGTGATGGCGAGCAAAGGCAAGCTCCGATAAATCTGACAGACAATTTTAATTAAGGTGTATGATAAATTGGCAGATTTAAAGTTATATTAACGATATAATGCTGTGCTCATGAAGGAATCTCGCAGATAATTATTCGTGTTTTGTTTAAAAAATAAAATATAAAGAAAGAGAATTTCTATATTGTTAAGAGATATAAATACCTCACAGTATTTTCCGACGTGACATCCCTGACCTGTTTAATTTCCCAGAGTAATTTCTTCGTAACGTCGACCACCTTCTTCTTCGTGATCTTCTTGATGGCCACCCTCTCGCCCTTGTATATCCCAATAGTGGTGAAGACTCTGGCGGGCGGCAAAGATTCGCAACTGATCAGCGATCCGCGACGTATCTTTTGTTCCAATCCAAAATTCTACAAATTTAATTGTAAGCCTATCACTAGGCACGTTTTATAATTTACTTACTATTTACTTACTTTATTATAATTTATTTACTTACATTCGTATCGGACATTGCTTGGTGTAGATTTATCTTCGACGAAAATTGTTTTCCAACCTCGAGAAGTAATTCCTCAGGTCTTACACGCCAAGACATGTTATTTAAGTCGGCGGACAACCGCAAATGTCTAAGGAAAAAATCTTGTTTTTTACTTCAATTAATATTTTTATAATTTTTTTCTATATATATTTAAACAAATATTTAATATTAACAATCTCTATTTATATCGTTATTTCTCGAGAGGAGGGTTCGAGCTTTCAATACTGATGCACATTATTTTATTTTTATTCATTTTATTTTGCAGATACATTTGTGCTAAATGTGTATCGAATTTAGAATATGGAAAACTACTATTGCATCTACCTGTATAAAAGGCACGCGGCTGTGATTGCAACGAGTAGAAACACGGCGAGCGCTATGCTCGTATAAGCTACAAAAGTGTAAGCTTCTGTCCTCGATGTGCAAGCCGGATCGTTCCCTAAAAAGCCGCACTCTGGAATATCTGGCGGAGGTCCTTCTCTTCCTCCCGGCCAATGGATTTTCTTACCAGACATAGAATTATATTCTCGATTTAATCCCGAATAATGAGCGACCACTTCAAATCTGTAAGATACACGTCAATTTTTTCTCAACTTTCTTTCTCTGATAATTTACATAATATTTTATTAAAACGTTACGTTATGTGTACAATAGTACTTTAGATTGGCCTTTAATTGGTCTGTCGCGATTTTATATTGAAGAGCTTTTTTACAAAAAGTTTCTTAATATATAAATCTGCAATATCTTTATGTAATTTTAAACCAAAAATATTAAATTATTAAGTGCTTCGATCATAAATTTGCAATTTGCGACATATATCCTTGTTCGTGCGGCGATAAAGCCACGCCAAGTGTATTGTCTGAATTTTCAATGACCTTCCGGTAATGGGATCTAAATCAAGGATGCTGTAATCCGCATCACGATCCCCATTGTCGTCTATCCTGACATGGCCCGTAATACCAATGAAGTCTCGATCCCACATTCTCCTTGTTATAGATATGCCATCCCTGATATCGCCACCCTCGGCCAAGGTCTCGTTCAGCGCGATTCCTAACAAGTAGACACCGTCGTAAAAAGCCCCGACGAAGAAATTCACCTATTGGGAAAACGGTAAATTTATTTCGCTTCACATATATTTTAGATTCTTATCTAAAAAATAATCTCAACTTTTAGATTTATCATGGCTTGTTAATGCACGTGAGCGGGTTCAACTATAAAGTATTATTACAATTGGCTCACTTCTTCGCCCTCCGAAAATGTGTAATTGTAATCCGACTGCGCGCGTTGCCTGACACTATCGGCAAAACCCTGAAATCGCGAAGTAGTCGGCTGAAGAAGAGACACCCTCAATAAAGCCTCATAAGCCTTCCTGGCAGCGGCATCGTCCTCGTCTCCGACCTCCCAGTCATGATCGCCCCAGTAAGAGCCCTTAAAATTGTTTTGTCGCTTTAATGTCAATGAAAAAGGTATTATTCCATGATTTATCGTCACGTTTACATTGAATTGATAATTTTTTCTTGTCTCATTTTTTTCTATAACACCTTACGTGAAATATCTCGACATCGAGGAAAGCCCACTCCCCTCGTGTCATTTCCAACTCGTGGGCGGCCAGCATAAATTTTCTGACCAGCGTTCCGCGGACGCTGAGTATCACAACTGTTTAGAAAATTGTCATTAATATTAAACATCTCTTGTGATAACTTTTATTTCATAGAGAAACATAGAATGTCTTAAAACTCACTTTGATTTTATAACGACGGGATTTATATTCATTTATATATATATTTATTTATATTTATAATTATATTTATAATTATATTTTGAAATGTCAAAGAAAATTATAAATTCTAGCTTGCAAGACATCCTGTAAATGCAAGACAAGCGGGATTACACTTACTTCTGGCGTACATGCTTGCATCGCGAAGATAAAGATGATACGACTCATCCTCGGAATTTCCGTCCAAATCTCTCACAAACTTCAAGAGCCCCTCTTTACGTAGACCGTATTCCAGATTTTTTCCTACTGTCAACGAGAACAAGTCCGATCTGTCCAATATCAGCGCAACATGAGACCATCCGAACTCTTTGAACACGCTAGAGAAGACGAGCCGCAATCGACATTGGCAGTACGACATTCTCGTTAAAGTGGGATATTTGCTTTTGTCTTTGAAAATCCCCTTCAAGAAAAAGGTGAGAAATACATTATAGGGCATGAAAAATGTTTGTTCGTGAAAAAGATCACTAAAGAAAAGTATAATATCTAGATTGTAAGATTGTTCTTTGTCAAAATAAAATATGCCAAAGACTCATAATTTATAATAATATGTTACATATGTATAACTGGCGAATTATAATAGTATTTATCACGAAAGAAAAATATAATACACGAAGAGAACACGTCGCTGCCATAATTCAGGGCTTAACGAGTTTTCGTAGGAAGGGGTAACATTATATACGAGTGCGTTTATATCCTTCAAGCGAAAGAGTAATAATTTCTTAGACTATATCCTTTGTTGTCGTAATTAGCGCATAGCTAGTGAAAATATTAAGAAGACGCCATGTTAAAAAGAGAAAGACAGAAAGAGATTGTCGGATAATATACATCAACTATCATAAATGCTCAACATGCTGGCGACCTTACAATAATTAGAGAAACAAAAAGATTCTATATATAAGGCGATTCTCTCATAGCTCCTTACCGACGTTTCATTCTTCCATCTATGAATCCTTCCAAGGATACCAGATGTGACTGACAGTTCGCCTTCCGAGGGAGGCTTGGGATTCGCAAGAAAGCGATAATTACGTTTCACATAATTTAATATTAACATCGACAATATGGCGATTTATTTCAATTTCAAAATATATGAGGCAAAATTAAAACGAAATATTAAGATGAAAAGATGCCAAGTGAAATTAATTCAAAACTCGACGCTATAATAAAAATATAATCATACCGCGCGTAATAATATCCTTCTTTAATAATGATTTTCAAAGGATTGCATTGCAATTCTCCTTTTCCGAGAAAAACAATCTTATTTCTGTTTCTCTCGGAGAGGGAGAATTGCAATAAAAGAGAGATTAATATTACATTAATATGCTGGGGATATATATATGTATATTCCCAGCATATTAATGTAATATTAATCTCTCTTTTAATTATCACGAGATAATAATAAAAGAGAAGAGAATAATAAAAGTTTACGGAAAGTTAATCGTGCGAATCGAGCGCGACGAAATTGTACATAGAGGCAATAATCAGATGCAATATTTATGTGCGTATAATTGCGAGAGCCAATTCGACCTACTTGATCACCCATGCCCGTAATAATTGGACTATTCCAATAAGCCGCGAGTCGTGCTACCGGTTCCAGGGCAAAAGCGCAAGCCGGCCCGATGAACGCTATCACATTGTCCTGGAAGTGCATGTCCGCTGCTAAACCGGGTGCCGTCGCTCCGCTGCACGACGGATAACTGCAGAGAATTTCATTTCTTTTAATCGTATTTATATTTTTCGAGTTTACATCGTGACTTGCAAGAATCAGATCGCAAAATCAAGACTTATCGCCAAAAATGCAATGTATTATAAATGTATAATACCAGGGGATGTCTGTATGGGGATGTGTATATCTTGCAAACATGGAAAATTTAAAAATCTCGATGATCTCTATTTAGATATTCAATGTTATAACATAATATTGAATGATTAAATATTGACACTATTGTATCGCGTATCATAATTGCAATTATGAAAGAAGCGTATATATTGTGTACATACGATTAATATCAATCTAATCTAGAGACAAACCCGAGCCGCATGATGGATTGTATGTATATCAAAGTGCAAACATATAACGCGATCAGATTACCGGGGTGAACGGCGAGAAAATGCGAAATGTGTGTTTTCCTCCCGTGTGCAGTTGCATGTGACGCACGTATGTCAGGTCGCGTCCTTGAGGAACTGCGAAACTGCAAAATTTGCATGCGTTTCGTGGCAAATATTCCGCACTTTACGCGCAATTAACGACGAATAGCAACGATGATCATACGGTGCATTCGGTGAGATGCGTTGCGCGGGCAACAGCTCGAAATGATGGCGAATTAATTGTATTGAGATGAATGGCCAATGATTGGATTCCTGTTGATCTGTCCTAATAAGAATGTCGAAAACATTATACGCGGTGCGTAGAGATGCGTTATGGGGAAAAGAGAAATATCGCTTTCTGCTCGTGTGTTTTTTTCACAAATTATTTATTATTATTATTATTTTATTTTTATAATTATTAATATTATTATTATTATTTTTCACGAATTATTTACTGACAGTATCGTACTTATGTACTGACAGGATCGTTTGAACCGCGATTTGCGATAAAAACGAGTTCGTATAATACGCGACATTTGCTTTAATCATGTGATGCAGAGATACAAAATGTTAAAATTATCGATAAATTGTTAGAACTAGAATTTTTTTTATCGAGGATTAATTTTTTTTAATTGGAAAAATGTTTATTTCACCGTCGCGCAAAATTAAATGATATCGTATATATATCGTTTGTATTTGGCTGCCATCGAAATAGCATAGCAATCCCCAACGCAACAGATGATATCATGTAACGCATACACGTAGGCGTGGCAGTACATATAGAACTCCCCATGTATGCATATGAATGTTTCAGATATGTATATATACACATAGGATGTATTATACACACACGACATGTATGTACACACAGTAAAAAGTGGATGAGATTAATAGCGCAGAGATGTCATACATAAATAATTTTTCTTATCTATTATTCGTCGTTTTCCCTCCTCCGCCAAGTATCGTATAATTTACAATTAAACGACGAGAGCAACTTTCCATGCAAACGCCTGTTCAATTGTATCAATGTAATGACGCAAAAGAGATGCACATAAGCAGCAAAATGAAACGTTTCAAACAAGAAATTTATGGGCATTCGAGGAAATATCACGATGCAAAAATCTACATTTAACAATATTTATCGTGTGTTATATATTTCAGTTATTCATGTCTACGTTATATTCGATTAAACGTCGTTTCAATATTTCTATAACAAACGGTTTCCCCGGGGTCTTCAACCGTATTTTTTTCCTTCCCAGATGTAAACAACCAAAAATAAAAAATCGCATACTTGAACCAAATGAAAATGACAGAAGCACGCATTACGAATCGCCGGTCCATTATAAAGGGACATTTCGTGAGGGAGCGAGCTCTTTTGTTCATTTTTTAATTCGAATGCATATTTTCATCGTTTTACTGTAACAATCGAACGCCGCTATTGTGTTAAATTGATTTCAGTGGCCAGATTTAGTAATAGTGTCCGCTGTTGTGGTTTCGCGATTGATTGATTGATATAGCGTATAAAATGATGAACGAGCCTTTTTTTCCACTTCACAACAGTAACATGAATTACTTATATTATTATACCTTCCCTGTACTTTGCGCAGCTGCACATTGTGAACGCTCAGGAAATCGTTCACTTCTGCCAAAGCCAGATCGACTGCTGGACCACATCGTTCAAGATCAAACGGGCTGTCGAGATGAGACGCCATAAGGACGCCCACATTGTACACCCGCAGAGAATTTCCGTAATCCACTGTGTGCAGTCAAGAAGGATCAAAGACGTGAGTCCTTCGTATGCGCACGTTGACAAATATTTAAATAGTTAATGAAAAAATAACAATGGCTTTGAACGGCTTGAATTTCATAACAAACACAAAGCGGATATATAAACATAAATATACTCATCTTCATATATAAGAGATATTTTACTTTCAAATTTCTTTAGTTTATCTTAAAAGCTGTTAGAGCGTTAGAGTGTGTGTAAAAAATCTCTTAAATATACTTTTAAGAATAATAATCTGAAAAATAAGATATTGTAATATTTCGAAAGAATTTTATAAGTAGACATGTAGTTGAATAAACTGTCGAATGATATAAACTGAAGAAAAGTATTGTGTAATTTAAGCTTGTATTTTTTTTTTTTTTTGCAAATTTAAACGATATCAACGCGTTAATTTTGCGCGATTACGTTTAAACGAGCGAAAGATATGTCAGTGACGTGTCGCTATTATTCGTTGAAAAAATCACATTCGTTTTATTCATACGCGATTACACAGGACATCAAAAGGGAGAGAGGACGTTGAATACTGAATTAGATGCCATGCATATCCAATGAGCTTATTCATCATCGAGATGGAAAGAAATTTAAAAAAAAAAAAGAATATATAAATCAATCAATCAATATAAAGATCGAATAAAATATGTTTGATAATCGTATTCATTAAGTGACAAAATATAAAATATTGATACGTAAATCATATCAAAATTGTTTTTGCTATATATATTAAATAAAATACGCTTTTTAACAAATTGTTAATATAAAAAAGATCTTTCCAAAGTGTAGAATAAGATATACTTTTATTAAATAATAGAAAATGGCAAATAATTGATTTATAGACTTAGAAACGTGCATCTCAGGCACATTAAAAAAAATAATTTTCTTTAAAGGAATTATCCATTTCTTTTATATGCGCGCCATTTATATTATAATATATTAAATACGCTGTCTTAACAAAAAAATGCTTAATAAAATACAAAATATATTTAAATAAAACATACACTTGGGATTCTTGATGTTAAATAAAATTAAGATTGCGGATTTTTCTGGGACACTCGTGCAGCGACAAAATATGCATCCTGTCACGATATTTCGACGAAATATGTATCTCGCGAATGAACAAACATCTTACCACGCGATACACTCGCGAGCCACGACACTTGCGAAGCAACGACAATCGACAGTACGAGCAATCTCGTTTTCGCAAACATAACGGGCAGGAGGGCCGGACCCTGTCGAACTTGGAAGGAAAAATCTACAGGTGGTATGTGCGAGAGCCGCGTTAAAAAGGGAAAAGAAATGAGACGCACATACACGCACGTCGGACCGCCCGCTGAGCAACATCTAAAGTTTCGCGGGGAAGGATTCAGCCTTATATAGGGGTTGACACAGAGTCCCACGGAGTTGTGGCAACGCGCAATCCAACGCGCTCCCCGGAAATACACGATACCTGCGGAAAAAAAAACAGAAAAATATTGCATATATTATACATATCGCTCATCGTAACATACACGAGTTGCGAGATCTAAATAAATTTATGCGAGTCTTAAAAAACTTTTTTCGTTGGATGTCTTTCATTTCCCTGTGATCTCGTAGACGGAGATCCGCGAACATTTCTTTTGCGATAAACAAAGATCGAAATCTCATCCTTTCAATACAAAACTCTTTTTAATTTCTTAGATTCGCTATCTAATATCGTGTGAAAAAGGATCAATGCGCGGATCAATTTTGTCGTGAATAAATACGCGGAATCTGAGCAACCGCTCACATTTCAATCTTTGATAGTGATATCGTACGTACGTGATATACAGAGTGTGTAGAGAATCATCATTTTTCATTTATCGATTCTTTGAGTCGGAATGATCCGATTTTTCTTCAGCGTAACCTGATATAGTCAGTATAATATAAGATAAAGAATGATAGAGATTCGAAAGATATATATGTAACACGCATGCTTAGGAAATCAGAGACACAAACCTGCATCAAAAGTGCATCGATTCGAGATACACAGCGCGAGTCTGGGTGAACCTTTCAACAGAATGAAATGTATTATAGCGTGCCAAGTGAAATCCCTGAGGGATTTTTAGGATGTATAGCGATGATCCCGGGTATAGTAAAATAAAGTAGTAACCAGACTGATTTAAAGACGTCTAAGCGATTCTCTTCATTTTGCATATCGAAACCTCTATTATCGAAAAATATTGAAGCTAGATATAATTGTTAATTATAAATATAAAATTATATTGTATATTTTTCGTCTATCTTACATAAAGTGTTATATATAATTTTATAACGCAATAGTCTTATTGTTTTGTTACGTCATAGAATAAAAGCGACTATGCTCCGTTTAACCATAGACATATAAATATATATATAAGTATATAGACTGCGCACTTACCTTATTTAATCATAAAGGATTCGTGCATCAAAATTAGAAAGAAAGCAATAATGTTTTTCAGGGGAGTGTGTTAATCTCATCTTTTTAACTAGAGAAGAGAGAGAGAGAGAATTCTTGGAGAATTTTTCTGTTTGATAGCCAATCGTCTGACTTTAATATACATGATATTAAAATGTACATATTATTATGACACGTCATAAATAAAAATATACCTATGTGTATAAATGATTATTTATTGTTACACGTGTATACAAATATTGACAACTCATTTGGAATACGCAGAATCGTGCGAGTAGCGTGCCTCCGTAACCGGCCAATGAGCGACAAGGTCGCGCAGGCGCGACCAATCAGGGGCATTGTTTGTCGCGAGCTTGCTCGATTTATAGTCATAGACATACCTATGTCTATGTTTATAGTGAATCACGTGACATATGTCATTCTTGTGCGAGCGTTCTGATTTCTGATGCGGATACGTCACGGTCTTTTAAGACTGCACTTGCTCGCTTGCAAAATAACTTGTAAATATTTGATTTCTAAGGCGAATATAGAGATGATTTTATCGAACAAAATAAGGTGTGGTAAACAATCGTGATATTTATAATTGTGATCAGTATTTCATAAGAAATATTATATATATAGCTATATGCTTGTTGTTTTAAAAGTATGCAACACGCAACAATTTTATTATTTCAGTGCAAACCCTTTTTACAAGCGTGTTTTGGCAGTTATTAAACGAGTAATAATAATTATTATGGCAGTAATTATTATTTCTTAAGTAGCATATTTCTTAATCACAAAAAGAAACTTTTTGCGGGTCCAAAATAATCTTTTTCATAAATGTAAAAGAAAATAAGTTTAACTATGTCGGTTTATATATGTGTATACATATACTCATATAAATAAGCTTTATTTTTTACATTTAATTAAATATTGCAGGCGACAAAACATTTTCTAAACTATCGAAAAGAAAATCTAATATGATATTATCTACTGTTTGAGAATTTAATTCTTCAGCAAGTGATAACTCTCATTATATTTTGGTATGTATTAATAATATCGTCTTTGTACTATTGAAATGATGATCGCAATTTGCAATGCACGTGATAATAAACACGTGTGTTAATATTTACATGTTTACATTTCACGTTAAAAACAAACGGCATAAATAAACATTCGCCATATTGCGAATGATTATACCCGTCTTCTAATTCAATGAATGCCTAACATTTATTGGCATCGCTTTTTCAACCCCTCCCCTTTTTTCGTAAAACTATATCTATCTCCGGTTGGCTCACCAGTGTCGTACGATCTTATTTTGCAGGAAGCTAGCCAGTTACGTCGAGACGGTGACGCATCATGTGTTACTTCTGTATATAAAAATCGAGACGTTTCGAAGCTCACGTTTAGTATCAACGATAGTACGAGAAGATCGGTTCTCTCTGAACTTTTATCAGTGTTTCATCGATTACGCCAAGTTGATTCAACAAATCGATAACTTAATTAATTTCGAAAAGTTGAAAGAGAGTTTTGGTTTGTGTCTTATATGCGACATTTATTAATTTGGATATATCTGCGAAAGATATAAAAAATTATACAAGGGATATTTTATGATCTTTGCGGTAAGATGTCTTTTAGCAGATATACGACGCATCGCCGAAAGTGTATTTTGTTAACTAGGTGAGTGGAATCTCTTGTTTGTGTATAGTATGTCTGTTTGGATTTATAAAAAATTGAAGAATATAAATTAATAGCACATATAGATAAAAAATTATTATTATAAAAACGAGTACTTTTCACGAAATCAATTAATAATAATAAAGCGGTAAAATACGCGTATATCGGTTACGTATCGGATTTTCAATTAAATAAATCAGTCAATGAAACAATGAGTTTTTAATTGGACTTGCCGCTGTTCCGAGAACAATTTAAATCACCTTAAGTCGCACGTGCTATAAACATTAAACTATTTATCGCGTGTGCCATCGTGTAAAGCCATTAGCTATAATTGCGTCATTTTGCCAAGTGAGACTGTTGCAGAGATGCTATTATTATCAACGAAAATACGACATTAATACGAGAATTGTTTATATCATCATGTATATCGATGTTATCAAAATATTGATAGAATAATTGAATTAGCAGTAATCTGTTGTAAAATCTTATAAATGCGGATAATATACACGCGATTAAACGTCAGATTCAGTTAAGTTTGTGAGAAGAAGCGACCTCACATTTGGCTCCTCATCGATCAGCTGACATTGACAGATTAGGTTAGGTTGACAAGTATAGAAAATATGGCATTGTATTAAGCGGTGACTCATATGTAATTCATATTTTCTTCCTCTTTGTTATAATATTCGGAATATAAATCACGTATATTAATACATTTCGTTATAATGGAAATGCATATGTAATGATTGCAATAGGAAAATGGAAATGCCAGGTATAATATATGCACTATCTTGAATGTTCTCGAATAGAAGTTTACTTTCGATTTTATGTCTTTAGAATTACTAAAAGGACTATATATAAAAAACTATATCTACTTATCATTCTCGAGTTATTTCAGATATAATTAATGTTAAATATACTTAATATTATATTAGTTATATTATTTACAACAATAAATATTAATGTTTTTGCCCTTATTTTATATTACTATTTTAATAATGAAAGAATTTAATTATTTATATTCTTTAAACATAGAATTGTGTATCAGAAACATAAAGCTAAGATCAATACAAATGTAATTGGATTTGTTTGATTTATGTAAAAAATTGAAATGATTTATGTAAAGTGAAAGTTTTTTTATTAATTACAGACAATTTACGGATAGTGCAACTGGTAAAGATGCCAGTGGAAATGTAACAAGTATCACGAATAAACTTTTACGCTCCATAAACGATATAAAAAAAGTCAAAATGTCGATGCAGAATCAATGGAAGCTTTTGTCACAATTAAAGGATTATCTGAATAAGACCAACTGCGATAAAAATCAAATTAATGTCTCTAAGGATTGGTTGGATATTCTGCAGAAATTAACCTACTCGCAGCTCGAAACAATACGAAAATTATCATCAGACTCTATTAAAAGCACTGATACAAGCAAGAGCTCGAATACAAAGCATAAAGAAAGCAATGATTCAGAAAATGTGAAACTAACATTTATGTCCAATCAAACAGAATCGCTTATAGATAATTCTACTATGCAACAAAAAATACAGCAGGTAATTATATATTATAAACTAAATCAAATAAAAGATATTTTTATATATCTTATATAAAAAGTAAATTTTTTTGCTTAGCAAACTAGCGAACAAAGTATGCCTGATAATAAAATAGAATCAAAAGAAAGTTTTACAATGCCACAAATTCTCTCTACATTGTTTTTGAAGTTATCTCCCAAAAGTACACAAACTACCAAACTAACTATACCAAAGTGGAAAGTGAATGTTCATAGTATTTCAAAGCATAGTATTGTATCTCGTACACGACACGTCTTGAACAGTATCGTATCAGCCGAGTCGAATGCTTCTAAGTTGCGGAGAATCGAGGATTTGTTATTGCATATCGATCAGTATCCGGAGGCGAGACATTACGCGATCAAGGAGGGAGCGATTAAGATTTTACTGCGAACTCGTCAGAAGACGAAGGATGAACAAATTAATGGTATGTGAACAAAGTTCCATTACATTATTTTTATTATTGATGATTATTCATGATTTTAAAATTATTTTTATAGCATCTATCAGGGAAGCGCTGGCGCTAATGGGATATATCGATCCTCTACCCGGTCGGGGCATCAGAATCTTATCGATCGACGGCGGTGGTATTCGCGGAGTATTAGTTGTAGAGATGTTGAAGAAATTGGAGGAACTCACAGGAAAAAAGACGCATGAAATGTTTGATTACATATGTGGCGTCAGTACAGGCGCCATTCTTGCTGCTGTGTTAGGTAATTGCTTAGAAATTTTCGTGTTCGACAAATTTCTTAAGTATTATTAATTATTTTAAGATAATGTATATCAACCACTAACTTTTTCTTTATACGTTTGTGTATCTAAATTAATATACATGTCATCTATATATGCAGTATTACCAAAGGATGCTTTGGAAGGTAAACTTTTGATTGGTTTACAGCATGTACTGCCTGCAATCTTTTTTTATTTCATCAATAAAATGATAGAAGGTCTCGTGAAATTTCTGTTTATTGCGAGCTCACCTCTTTCACTTCTTATTGTAGGGGGATACAAGAGAAAATCATTGGACGAAGTTTCGAGATTATACAAAGAACTGAGCATCAGAGTGTTTACGCAGAGTGCCATAAAAGGCACAAGCAGTCTAGTTTGGAGTCACGCGTATTACGACACTGCATTATGGGAACAATTATTGGAGGAACATTTAGGCGACAAAATTCTTATCAAAACTACGCGTGATCCAAATGCACCAAAGGTGTGTAGCTTCTAATATATCATTGAACAAAAAAAACTCAGAATGAAATGTATAAATGCATGAGCCACACAACACACATAAGCAAGTAATTTAAATGTAAAAGATCGTTCAATTAAAAAAACTTATTCTGAATTTTTAGTTTTCAGCAATATCCGCCGTGGTAAATCACGGGAACGTTATGGCTTATGTATTTAGAAATTACACATTACCGTATGGAATGGAAAGTCAGTACATGGGATCTCATAAATATAAATTATGGGAAGCCGTGAGAGCGTCAGCTGCTGCACCGAGTTACTTTGAGGAATTTAAATATGGCGACTATCTTCATCAGGATGGTGGTACGCTGCACAATTATTTCAATGCAAAATTGCATTTAATACAATTTTTCGAGACATTATCGAGAATGACCGTAATATTATTTGTAGGCATTCTAGTAAATAATCCATGCGCCGTAGCGATTCACGAAGCCAAACAGCTGTGGCCAAATAATCCAATTCAATGCGTTGTATCATTCGGCACTGGTCGAATTCCACATCATTTCTATGAAAACGAATCTATGGAAGTCGAGATCTCAAGCTGGAGGGAAAAATTCTACAAAATTTTGGATAGCGCCACTGATACAGAAGGTAATGTTAATAATAAAAGAGGTATATAAGTGATTGTATATACAATTTGCATACAAATTGTTTTGAAACAAATTGAAAAGAGAAAATATGCAATTAAACTTGATCCTAATATCGATTTTTCAGCTGTGCATACGATGCTGAATGATCTGCTACCTGACCACATTTACTTTAGGTTCAACCCCTATTTAACGGAAATGCAATCAATGGTGGAAATTCGATCTGAAAAGATTAGTCTAATGGAACAAGATGCAAGAATGTACATACGTCGAAACGAAGAGAAATTTCAAAAGGCTGCTGCTGCTTTACTGAAAAAGCGGCGGATCGAACAGAAAATTGCTGATTATATTACTTTGCAAAGACAATTATTAGGTCTATGAAGAGGAATATATTCCACATATTGATGTGCATTTCATAATGCAATCTAAGATCTAAAGATCACATGGATATTTATAGTACAAATTTTTTATCTCTTATACACCATTTGAAACTTTTCAATTAATCCTTGCTTTGAATAGTGCAATAGCATAATAAGCATATATTTCAAAAGTATTTGGCAGAACATTTTTTGCTTATAATATCTTTTTCGTAATCTGTTATAAGTTTTTCGCGTTACAAGGTTTTAAAATAATTAGTAATAAGAAAGTATTCTATAAATGAGAAATTTATCTTGAATATATAAAGTTATTATTAGTATAGATATTTGACTGTGATACACTATGTAATGCTTGAATACAGTTAAGATTAATCAGTATAATTTTACATTTTGGTGTTATTATATGTTTTGCAGTAAAGGTGCACAATTCTTAACATCATTAAAACAAAGTGACTGTATTCTCATTGAAAATATTGATCAATGTATTAAAAGATAGTAAGGCTAGTATTGGATGTTTCATATGCATTCTTCTTCATTGTAAATATTGTAAATGTGTATTAGCAAAGAATTTCTGCAATAAAAATAACATGAAATGTGCGTGCAGAAAAAATAAAAAAAATTTGAATTGCTTATTTTAAAGAGATAGTAAAATAAAGTAGTAACCAGACTGATTTAAAGACGTCTAAGCGATTCTCTTCATTTTGCATATCGAAACCTCTATTATCGAAAAATATTGAAGCTAGATATAATTGTTAATTATAAATATAAAATTATATTGTATATTTTTCGTCTATCTTACATAAAGTGTTATATATAATTTTATAACGCAATAGTCTTATTGTTTTGTTACGTCATAGAATAAAAGCGACTATGCTCCGTTTAACCATAGACATATAAATATATATATAAGTATATAGACTGCGCACTTACCTTATTTAATCATAAAGGATTCGTGCATCAAAATTAGAAAGAAAGCAATAATGTTTTTCAGGGGAGTGTGTTAATCTCATCTTTTTAACTAGAGAAGAGAGAGAGAGAATTCTTGGAGAATTTTTCTGTTTGATAGCCAATCGTCTGACTTTAATATACATGATATTAAAATATACATATTATTATGACACGTCATAAATAAAAATATACCTATGTGTATAAATGATTATTTATTGTTACACGTGTATACAAATATTGACAACTCATTTGGAATACGCAGAATCGTGCGAGTAGCGTGCCTCCGTAACCGGCCAATGAGTGACAAGGTCGCGCAGGCGCGACCAATCAGGGGCATTGTTTGTCGCGAGCTTGCTCGATTTATAGTCATAGACATACCTATGTCTATGTTTATAGTGAATCACGTGACATATGTCATTCTTGTGCGAGCGTTCTGATTTCTGATGCGGATACGTCACGGTCTTTTAAGACTGCACTTGCTCGCTTGCAAAATAACTTGTAAATATTTGATTTCTAAGGCGAATATAGAGATGATTTTATCGAACAAAATAAGGTGTGGTAAACAATCGTGATATTTATAATTGTGATCAGTATTTCATAAGAAATATTATATATATAGCTATATGCTTGTTGTTTTAAAAGTATGCAACACGCAACAATTTTATTATTTCAGTGCAAACCCTTTTTACAAGCGTGTTTTGGCAGTTATTAAACGAGTAATAATAATTATTATGGCAGTAATTATTATTTCTTAAGTAGCATATTTCTTAATCACAAAAAGAAACTTTTTGCGGGTCCAAAATAATCTTTTTCATAAATGTAAAAGAAAATAAGTTTAACTATGTCGGTTTATATATGTGTATACATATACTCATATAAATAAGCTTTATTTTTTACATTTAATTAAATATTGCAGGCGACAAAACATTTTCTAAACTATCGAAAAGAAAATCTAATATGATATTATCTACTGTTTGAGAATTTAATTCTTCAGCAAGTGATAACTCTCATTATATTTTGGTATGTATTAATAATATCGTCTTTGTACTATTGAAATGATGATCGCAATTTGCAATGCACGTGATAATAAACACGTGTGTTAATATTTACATGTTTACATTTCACGTTAAAAACAAACGGCATAAATAAACATTCGCCATATTGCGAATGATTATACCCGTCTTCTAATTCAATGAATGCCTAACATTTATTGGCATCGCTTTTTCAACCCCTCCCCTTTTTTCGTAAAACTATATCTATCTCCGGTTGGCTCACCAGTGTCGTACGATCTTATTTTGCAGGAAGCTAGCCAGTTACGTCGAGACGGTGACGCATCATGTGTTACTTCTGTATATAAAAATCGAGACGTTTCGAAGCTCACGTTTAGTATCAACGATAGTACGAGAAGATCGGTTCTCTCTGAACTTTTATCAGTGTTTCATCGATTACGCCAAGTTGATTCAACAAATCGATAACTTAATTAATTTCGAAAAGTTGAAAGAGAGTTTTGGTTTGTGTCTTATATGCGACATTTATTAATTTGGATATATCTGCGAAAGATATAAAAAATTATACAAGGGATATTTTATGATCTTTGCGGTAAGATGTCTTTTAGCAGATATACGACGCATCGCCGAAAGTGTATTTTGTTAACTAGGTGAGTGGAATCTCTTGTTTGTGTATAGTATGTCTGTTTGGATTTATAAAAAATTGAAGAATATAAATTAATAGCACATATAGATAAAAAATTATTATTATAAAAACGAGTACTTTTCACGAAATCAATTAATAATAATAAAGCGGTAAAATACGCGTATATCGGTTACGTATCGGATTTTCAATTAAATAAATCAGTCAATGAAACAATGAGTTTTTAATTGGACTTGCCGCTGTTCCGAGAACAATTTAAATCACCTTAAGTCGCACGTGCTATAAACATTAAACTATTTATCGCGTGTGCCATCGTGTAAAGCCATTAGCTATAATTGCGTCATTTTGCCAAGTGAGACTGTTGCAGAGATGCTATTATTATCAACGAAAATACGACATTAATACGAGAATTGTTTATATCATCATGTATATCGATGTTATCAAAATATTGATAGAATAATTGAATTAGTAATCTGTTGATAGAATAATTGAATCAGTAATCTGTTGTAAAATCTTATAAATGCGGATAATATACACGCGATTAAACGTCAGATTCAGTTAGGTTTGTGAGAAGAAGCGACCTCACATTTGGCTCCTCATCGATCAGCTGACATTGACAGATTAGGTTAGGTTGACAAGTATAGAAAATATGGCATTGTATTAAGCGGTGACTCATATGTAATTCATATTTTCTTCCTCTTTGTTATAATATTCGGAATATAAATCACGTATATTAATACATTTCGTTATAATGGAAATGCATATGTAATGATTGCAATAGGAAAATGGAAATGCCAGGTATAATATATGCACTATCTTGAATGTTCTCGAATAGAAGTTTACTTTCGATTTTATGTCTTTAGAATTACTAAAAGGACTATATATAAAAAACTATATCTACTTATCATTCTCGAGTTATTTCAGATATAATTAATGTTAAATATACTTAATATTATATTAGTTATATTATTTACAACAATAAATATTAATGTTTTTGCCCTTATTTTATATTACTATTTTAATAATGAAAGAATTTAATTATTTATATTCTTTAAACATAGAATTGTGTATCAGAAACATAAAGCTAAGATCAATACAAATGTAATTGGATTTGTTTGATTTATGTAAAAAATTGAAATGATTTATGTAAAGTGAAAGTTTTTTTATTAATTACAGACAATTTACGGATAGTGCAACTGGTAAAGATGCCAGTGGAAATGTAACAAGTATCACGAATAAACTTTTACGCTCCATAAACGATATAAAAAAAGTCAAAATGTCGATGCAGAATCAATGGAAGCTTTTGTCACAATTAAAGGATTATCTGAATAAGACCAACTGCGATAAAAATCAAATTAATGTCTCTAAGGATTGGTTGGATATTCTGCAGAAATTAACCTACTCGCAGCTCGAAACAATACGAAAATTATCATCAGACTCTATTAAAAGCACTGATACAAGCAAGAGCTCGAATACAAAGCATAAAGAAAGCAATGATTCAGAAAATGTGAAACTAACATTTATGTCCAATCAAACAGAATCGCTTATAGATAATTCTACTATGCAACAAAAAATACAGCAGGTAATTATATATTATAAACTAAATCAAATAAAAGATATTTTTATATATCTTATATAAAAAGTAAATTTTTTTGCTTAGCAAACTAGCGAACAAAGTATGCCTGATAATAAAATAGAATCAAAAGAAAGTTTTACAATGCCACAAATTCTCTCTACATTGTTTTTGAAGTTATCTCCCAAAAGTACACAAACTACCAAACTAACTATACCAAAGTGGAAAGTGAATGTTCATAGTATTTCAAAGCATAGTATTGTATCTCGTACACGACACGTCTTGAACAGTATCGTATCAGCCGAGTCGAATGCTTCTAAGTTGCGGAGAATCGAGGATTTGTTATTGCATATCGATCAGTATCCGGAGGCGAGACATTACGCGATCAAGGAGGGAGCGATTAAGATTTTACTGCGAACTCGTCAGAAGACGAAGGATGAACAAATTAATGGTATGTGAACAAAGTTCCATTACATTATTTTTATTATTGATGATTATTCATGATTTTAAAATTATTTTTATAGCATCTATCAGGGAAGCGCTGGCGCTAATGGGATATATCGATCCTCTACCCGGTCGGGGCATCAGAATCTTATCGATCGACGGCGGTGGTATTCGCGGAGTATTAGTTGTAGAGATGTTGAAGAAATTGGAGGAACTCACAGGAAAAAAGACGCATGAAATGTTTGATTACATATGTGGCGTCAGTACAGGCGCCATTCTTGCTGCTGTGTTAGGTAATTGCTTAGAAATTTTCGTGTTCGACAAATTTCTTAAGTATTATTAATTATTTTAAGATAATGTATATCAACCACTAACTTTTTCTTTATACGTTTGTGTATCTAAATTAATATACATGTCATCTATATATGCAGTATTACCAAAGGATGCTTTGGAAGGTAAACTTTTGATTGGTTTACAGCATGTACTGCCTGCAATCTTTTTTTATTTCATCAATAAAATGATAGAAGGTCTCGTGAAATTTCTGTTTATTGCGAGCTCACCTCTTTCACTTCTTATTGTAGGGGGATACAAGAGAAAATCATTGGACGAAGTTTCGAGATTATACAAAGAACTGAGCATCAGAGTGTTTACGCAGAGTGCCATAAAAGGCACAAGCAGTCTAGTTTGGAGTCACGCGTATTACGACACTGCATTATGGGAACAATTATTGGAGGAACATTTAGGCGACAAAATTCTTATCAAAACTACGCGTGATCCAAATGCACCAAAGGTGTGTAGCTTCTAATATATCATTGAACAAAAAAAACTCAGAATGAAATGTATAAATGCATGAGCCACACAACACACATAAGCAAGTAATTTAAATGTAAAAGATCGTTCAATTAAAAAAACTTATTCTGAATTTTTAGTTTTCAGCAATATCCGCCGTGGTAAATCACGGGAACGTTATGGCTTATGTATTTAGAAATTACACATTACCGTATGGAATGGAAAGTCAGTACATGGGATCTCATAAATATAAATTATGGGAAGCCGTAAGAGCGTCAGCTGCTGCACCGAGTTACTTTGAGGAATTTAAATATGGCGACTATCTTCATCAGGATGGTGGTACGCTGCACAATTATTTCAATGCAAAATTGCATTTAATACAATTTTTCGAGACATTATCGAGAATGACCGTAATATTATTTGTAGGCATTCTAGTAAATAATCCATGCGCCGTAGCGATTCACGAAGCCAAACAGCTGTGGCCAAATAATCCAATTCAATGCGTTGTATCATTCGGCACTGGTCGAATTCCACATCATTTCTATGAAAACGAATCTATGGAAGTCGAGATCTCAAGCTGGAGGGAAAAATTCTACAAAATTTTGGATAGCGCCACTGATACAGAAGGTAATGTTAATAATAAAAGAGGTATATAAGTGATTGTATATACAATTTGCATACAAATTGTTTTGAAACAAATTGAAAAGAGAAAATATGCAATTAAACTTGATCCTAATATCGATTTTTCAGCTGTGCATACGATGCTGAATGATCTGCTACCTGACCACATTTACTTTAGGTTCAACCCCTATTTAACGGAAATGCAATCAATGGTGGAAATTCGATCTGAAAAGATTAGTCTAATGGAACAAGATGCAAGAATGTACATACGTCGAAACGAAGAGAAATTTCAAAAGGCTGCTGCTGCTTTACTGAAAAAGCGGCGGATCCAACAGAAAATTGCTGATTATATTACTTTGCAAAGACAATTATTAGGTCTATGAAGAGGAATATATTCCACATATTGATGTGCATTTCATAATGCAATCTAAGATCTAAAGATCACATGGATATTTATAGTACAAATTTTTTATCTCTTATACACCATTTGAAACTTTTCAATTAATCCTTGCTTTGAATAGTGCAATAGCATAATAAGCATATATTTCAAAAGTATTTGGCAGAACATTTTTTGCTTATAATATCTTTTTCGTAATCTGTTATAAGTTTTTCGCGTTACAAGGTTTTAAAATAATTAGTAATAAGAAAGTATTCTATAAATGAGAAATTTATCTTGAATATATAAAGTTATTATTAGTATAGATATTTGACTGTGATACACTATGTAATGCTTGAATACAGTTAAGATTAATCAGTATAATTTTACATTTTGGTGTTATTATATGTTTTGCAGTAAAGGTGCACAATTCTTAACATCATTAAAACAAAGTGACTGTATTCTCATTGAAAATATTGATCAATGTATTAAAAGATAGTAAGGCTAGTATTGGATGTTTCATATGCATTCTTCTTCATTGTAAATATTGTAAATGTGTATTAGCAAAGAATTTCTGCAATAAAAATAACATGAAATGTGCGTGCAGAAAAAATAAAAAAAATTTGAATTGCTTATTTTAAAGAGACCATTATCCCAAAAATTTTTATTATATAATATTATA